TTTGTAGCTCAACAACAACCTTCTTATTAAGGCACTTTAGGAATCTTTCTACAAGTGTCCAATTTTTGTATCAAGAGTGGTCGTAATACGAGTCGCATTCACCAAAAAGTCCACAATAACTAAAATTCATTTCTACACAACATCTGAATATCATAGAAGGAATAGACTTAATCATTTTGGAATTACCATGGGTATGAGTGTTCTTTAAACGATAAAAAAAGTAATCAAAAGGTCAAGTTATAATCTACATGTTTCCTTGTTAGATTGACATAATGATTCTGTAAATCATTAGACATAATTTTTTGGCTACATCTATTTTACTATTTCTATAAGTAATAAACGTCATCGTACATGAAAGTATTGAGAAGTCCCAAAAGGAATATAATGATTCCTATACATCATAGTTACATGACAAGTTGTTTTTCTTTTCCATGTACAATTCTCAAATCCTAGCATTAAAAAGTGAGGAACAAATTCTTCAACCTCCTTTCGTAGCTCAAAAACAACCTTCTTGTTCCAAAGGCACTTTAGGAATCCTTTCTTCAACTATCCATTTTTTGTATGAAGAGTGGTCATAATATGAGTCACATTCATCAAAAAGTCCACAATAAACCAAAATTCATTTCTACACAACATCTGAATATCATAGAAGGGATATACTTAATCATTTTGGAAAATATAGGTGTCTGTTGTGGAAGACAAAAGGCTAAAGATGCATTAGGAATAATTAACATAATTTATGTAAATATTTAAGTCAATTAAAGAAAGATTAAAGGGCATACATATTTTAATAGGTATAGACATTTGGAAAAAGTTGAAGGTCACATATCTATAAGGATAAAATGGGTATTAATTATATTATTAAGGTTATTATAGTTAATCAAAAAAATTTCACTTTTGTTGACATTTTATAGTAATATAGATTAATAAGAATGAAACGATAGAGCATGAATTCGAGCACTGTGGTTCATCAGAAGGTATAGAGGCACAACATTAATTTTAACAATCTCATTTACATCCTTGTTAAGTTTAACAGGAAGATGTATCAATTGAGTTTATACACTTAACAAAATTATTTGCATTTTTCTGATGAAACTAAATTTTTAACCTCAATATGGTGAAGAGTTTGGTTCATACTTTTACAAGATAAGAAACCAAAAAAATAAATTTGTAGTAAAGCTTCTTGTTAAGAATATCCTTTCTCCTTGTTTGAGTCTTAAACTAAACAAAGAATTAAGAAATGACATTAACTAACTCTCTATTAGGTAGCATAGAATTCACTTCATTGTTTAATATACATTACTTGGTTTGGCACTAAATTAATGTACACAACAAACACCATTAAAATACAAAAAAAAAATTAATAGCATCCTCTGGTTCAAATGATGACAATTTGAAGGCCAAAACTTGAATCAACAAAAAAAAATAATTAAGTTGAACTAAACATCCTTGAAGGAAAAGAAATGTTTTTTTCACACATCCATTACATAACATCCATTATGAAAACTTCTCCTAACTACATTTGAAGGAAACTTTTATGATGAATTTGATAGTATAGCACTTTTTTAATCCTTGTAAAGAGCACATCTAACCTACAATTTATCTAATTAAAGTCACAAAAGAAATATTGACATAAGATAACTAAACGCTACAAATATAGAATGGGAAGAACTCCAATTCTATACCTTACTTTGTAGTACCACAATGCCTTCTTATAATATCCAAAGAGGACGTTAAAAACAAGTGAGAGAATGAAAAGCCTACCTATTGGTAAGCACATATTCATTATAATTGTAATTGAATATTTACTCCCAGATGTTGAGAGTTAAAACAAATAATAGAATATGATTGTCTTTATATAACTAGCAATGCAACACGTGCATTGCACGTGAAAGTTTTTGTTAAAATATTTGATAAAGTACATAAAAATTTAATTATATAATTAAATTAGATATTATCTCATATTTATCATACATATATTATTTATATTGTGGATGAAGAGAAAAATATACATATATTATTTTTTGGCACCGGAGATAGTATTGCATCAATGAAGTTGTCGATAAAAAAGAATAATATTTTTATATATCCTGTTAAGAGTAACATGATTATCTAAAAGTTTTGCAAAAATAAATATTTACATGACATGTTAGAGTTTAATTTGTTATTTAAGTTTAGAGTGATATAATGATAATCTGTATATTTAAACATAAAATGACATTTTAGTCTTTATAATTTTTTATAAGAGCAAAATAGTAAATCAAAAAATTTTCATGTAAGGTATTTTTATTAGTAGTATATATAACTAATTAATTAGAGATAAAATACGTAATCAAAAATCTTTTTATTGGTTAACATTTATAAGTAGTTAGATTAGATAATTAAATACATAAGTACGCAAGTGTCTTTAATTATTTGTATAGGGATAGAATAGTCAAATAAAAAAATTACTTTTGTTGACATTTTATACCAGTATAGATGGATAGAATATCAATAACACGTGCCTAAAGACACAATCAGTTAAGAATCAAACATCCAATCTGACAATTCATCTGAATCAATTGAAATTCAACAAATTTACATCAAATAATTTTAACAATTGTTTTTCAACAATAATTTCAACAAAACTATATCAAATAATTAAGCAAATTCAACAATCAATCATCCCAATCTCAATAGTATTCATGAATTCAATTAATTCAAGAACACAAATGAAAAAATAGCAATAAACCACATAATTTTAGTTGTGAAAAGCACAAAGAGAGGGGTGGGGTGGGGGTGGAGAACTTGAATCATTTACATATTCCACTTTATACCAACACTCCATGAACGAATTTCACTACTTTCATACATCTTAAAGTCTTTGCAGAGAGAGAAAGAGATAGAGCCAGAGAAAAGCTATAGAAATTCGAGAGAGAGAATCTGTTTGGAAGAGCTAGGGAAAAATACGCTTTGACGTGCTTCCCAACAAAAGTGTGTGACAATAAATAAATAAAGTGAGTGTGAATGAAAATCAACAAATATGCTACATGCCTCTCCCTAAATAAAAATTTATTCGACGCAATTAACGATAATGAGCCAACAAACCCATAATAAGATCGCAGTGCAGACAAACAATAAGAGACAATGCAATGCAATGCAGCAGAATCACAATAATGCACTCAAGTACTTGCTCAAGTGTGTTTTCTTCCCTGTTTTTTTAGTAAGGAAAAATTGCAAGAGTTTTATACCGGACTCCATAATTCTGTCATTAATGTAGTGATGACCCATGAATCTTGTTTGTTTGGATGCTTTAATTTTTGCACAGTGCATCAGAGAGATAAACGGGTCGATATAACACACGTTGGGATGAAAACTACACTTGACCTTATTGTTTGTAGTGCATGTAGCATCAAATTCAAAAATATGTATGTACATATATCTGTATATACATATACACCTTAGACTAATACAATTCGTATGGACTTTAATGTCACTCTTTTCTGGTGTTTTTGGTGTCACTCTTTGCATTCACACTGTGAACCACAAATATATGACTTCAATTTCTGCTGGCATTCTTTGTTGTCACTCTCTTTTGAAATATTTGGTTTTTGGTGTCACTCTATAATGTCTCTATTTGTTGCCAATCTTTGTAGTCATGAAATAAAGCAAAAATACTTGATATAAAAAATAAATGGCGGATCAGGAATGTTCAAAAATATGAACAAAATAACTTATTTCGTGATATAAAAAATGAATAAAAAAAATCGAAGCTGATTTGTGAGAATTAAAGAAAGTCGTGAATCTTCGATTATCATGAAATTCGATCCATCAATTAATAACACATAAATGTTGTATCGATTTTTTGAAAACAAAATCGATACAATGTCTGCTTGGAGAGGATGAGATTCGATTATTAGTTGGTTGACAAAGATTGAATCCACAAATGGCTGAATGGAGAAAAAACAAATCTAGCGTTGTTGACGTTTTTAAAATTGAAATCGATACAATATCTTACTAGATATGATGACATTCGGTGGCTGCTTGAAGAAAATAGAACCCGTAAATGGATCAATGGAGAAAAAACAAAACGTTGGTTGGCAAAAATATTTATGGAATCATTTCAAAATTCAAACGGTTAATAATCCATTAATTTAGGAAACCAATTATAATAAAACATAATCAAAAAACAAAGAAACTACCAACTCTTGCATAAATTAAGTAAAGGACAATGATATACTACAAAAATATGTAAATTTCAAAAAAATGTATATGGATACCAAATATTTAGGAGAAGGTGGAATTAATAGCTAAAAAAAAAATTAGCTAACCGTTTATCTTAAAAAAACACTAGGTTTAAAATTTTTAGGTTACTATTTCTGTTAAAAAAAATACTAGAACTCGTTAAATTTTCTCTTTACTTTTTGATCACCTAGAGAAGATTAATCTCTAATTACACAATGGATCTAAAATTTATAATTGTTCAAAATTAAGGTGGGACCAATAAATAAAAAAGTTTAAATTAATGTGACATTGGGAAAATAGGTTGCTCAATCCATTGAATTTAATTTTTTATTCACAAATTTGATTAAATTACATTTTTAAAGTCGATTTAATATTCACATAGAATTGAAACTTTATTATAAATCTCTTCTCCTTCCCACATACTATTATTTTCACCCTAATTGAAACTGCAGTCACCCATGCTTTGTTCACTTGTTAGAAATCTCTCGGGACTCTTTTTTTATCTTCTCCTCATTATTTTTTTCTTAAATTTCATTACTTTCTATTTTTTTTTTAGTTTAATTTTGGATTCATTTAATATGCCACATGGATTGATTTGATTGGTTTGGTACTGAGGTGGTATATCTATTTTTCTTGTAATAAACAACATTAAATGAAAAAAAAAACCTTTCTTTTTTTTTATCAAGTGCACTTATTTATTTGGCGTTAGTCAATTTTCCCAATTTATTATGAATAATTCCCAAATCCCAATTATTTCCCGAATCCGGAATTTCTTCATGGGGCAATTCATACCGACAATTTTCCCCATTAAAAATAGCGGCAAGTTCGTACTGGTGTCGGCACAATCCTCGCATACCGTGCCGGTCTAAAATTTAGGCCGGTTTGTTTTGAGTATTAGAGTAGTATAAAAAAATGATATTAGGAAAATAGTACGTGACACTTATCTTATACGTTATTTATTTGATATTTTATAATCAGTACTATTTTTGGGGTCATAATACCGACCCGCTATAAACAGTAACCATAATACCTTATAGAAGGTGTTAATGAATATCACCTAGGGGATGATATTATATTATTGGTATAGGTATTATAAATTAAAAAGACCAAAATGCCCTCCAGTACAATTCTCATATAAAAGGCTAGTCACAATTTTTTACTTTTTAAAGGTTAAAATTGTCTTTTACATTGGTTAGCCGCAATTGTTGATTTTTTTAAATGAGTATTACACAGATAATATTTGTGATAAACAAATAAGAAAAATGATGGGATTATAGTTTAATACCGGGTATAATATACTATTTGGATCGAAGTGGAATGAATATAAAACATTATACCACCTAAATTTTATACTTGAAACAAACATACCCTTAGGCCATTGCCTAGGCCTAGGACCCCCAAATTGGAAAAAAATTTTGGGGTTCAAAAAAAAAAAATAATTATTATTTTAAAATATTTTAACTATTGAATTAATAGTGAATGCTAAGTTTAAACAAAATTCACTATTTATCTAGTATATTTGATCCTCAAATTAAGTGCAACCAACATTATTGTAAAATTTTAAGAACCTCTTTTAAAAAAATTTAGGGCCCTAAAGTTCAACTTATTTTTTTATCTCACCCGATATTTATATTATTTGTATTATCACTTTGCAGTCTTCTTATTAAAATTAATTGTCTATCGTATAATAGGTACAAATAATAATTTTATATTTGTATTAAATTTGAGGTCATTTTTTAATAATTTTGGTTATGATACGCAAGATAACTATAAAATAGAGTGAGTATAAATAATACACTAGTTATTATAAATTGATTAATCATAATTGTCTTACTAAAATTTTTTATTTAAAAATTGCTCTTTTTCTCTATGATATCTAACAATATCTCATTTATTTTAGGACGACTCAACTTATATAAATTCTTATTTTTATATACATTTATAAAAAAATTATTTTACTAGTCAACCTAATTATTAATTATGTTTCTCTTTTATCTTAAATAAATAGTATGTATTATTATATTTAATCTTCGTATTTGACTTCGAATAACACAATTTTTATTTATAAAATTTGAATGAAAATTTTGAATTAGTATGCTATATCTCTAAAGACAAAACAAATAATTTATAAATAAACATATTTTAATAAGTATTTAGTATTACTATTATTACCGAATTTATATTTATAAGACCTCCTATAACATTTCGGCGAAGAGCCCAAATTAGATTGGGCCGCCCTGCTTGCATAGGAGTCCAATTCCGTCTCCTCCTTCCCTCTCTACAACCTGAAAAGAGAGAGAGAGGGCCGACATTGCCCTCTTGGACATTGATTCTCTCTCTCCAACAGTGCGGTGTAGGTCATTGATCGCCTGTTGATTTGTTGGTTTGGAGCTTGTTTCAACGTCGTCTATCGCTTTGGTGAGTCTTGTTCAACAAAATCTATGAACGCGATTCTACTGTTATATTTGTTGAGAAAATGTTGAAAGAGAAACGAAATTGAATCCTCAAGTTTTTTTTTCTGTTATAGTTATCCGAAGTGAAACAGGAGAGCATATTGGTGCTTTTGGATCATGTGGCTGTGCCTCTTGGTGCAGTTTTGAAAGCAATCAAGGTGGTCAAAAAGGAAGGAATTGAACACAGTGATCCTCTGATCATTACTCAAGCTTCATCACTAGGTATATTTTATTTACTTCTACTTCTATCTATGTATTAGTTTATTCATTTTCTACCGGCTAAATATTTCTATTTACATTCTGTAGTTTTTCATTGTGCCATCCGTAGTAATTTCCATTGTACAGATACTACCAATTTCCCTGAGATTCAAACCCACAAATTTTCAGTTATTAGTCCAGAATTTTGTCACGGCACTGGGCAACGACCCTCAGAAAAGAGCAAGGCAGGCACAAAAAGTAAAGCATAGTGATTTGTTGTTAGTTGAAGCATGAAGTTTTTCCATTTGGAAGCAAATAATTTTCCTTTATCATTAAACACAAATTTCGTCATCTACAATCCACATAACTATCATGGTTACCAGAGATGCTTCTGCCACAGCAAACTATGTTTTGGGATGTGTGGAATAAAACATGAAACACTACCGTTTAGGACACTCTATTTGGACTTTAGAGAGAGAAATTTGGGAGTGAACTCGGATTTTTGATGCTTTGGTTCAATGCTGTTAGATGATTAATGCTGATCTTGACAAATTCATCTAGTTAGGAGAAGATTTGTGCATTTTAGTAATTATCGTCATTTTTGGGGTAGAACAAACCAATCTGGCGACTGGGCTTGGACTCAGGCTTAGCTTTCCAAACAGTAGGAAACTTGGCAATCCTGCAGGCAGGTGAAAAATGAGAAATTGATTTCATGCTTGCTAAATAATTTTGTTGCCCCATAAAGAGTGGCAGCCTTGAGATAGATCTTGTGAGGGTGATTATTACTATTGTGTTGCTTTCCAAATGGTTGTGGATGTTTGCCAACAAAGTATTGAGGCTTCGGACAAAAGTTCTATGTATGGGATTAGCAGTAATATTTGGAATTCTCATGTGAAAGCAGTCTTAGAGGAATGGGTATGGGTAAAATTATGTCCACAATTCTAGTAATGAATTGGAAGACTTGGGCATTGGATAGATGAGGTTTGTTCATCTGTCATATTCTCTTCCCTAAATTTGCATTTGCCCAAATGAATTCGATAGCAGTGTTTCCTTCACTAGTAGCAGGTTAATTATAAAAAATAAGTACCCCTGAAAATTTTCAGTTTATGGATGTAGCTTAATTCATCTCTCTGTATATCAGTAATCTAAGCTTGATGTTGGTCAATGGCAGGTCTGCTACCAGTGGATTCTTCGTATGTGGATATTCTCATATCCATCTGTAGATCACCTGAATTTCCTGGTGATGAATTGTTTGAGGAAATCTCGAGAGTTTTGAAGCCTGGTGGAATGATTTTGATTCACCCGACTTCTCAGTCTGCTACAGGGAACATGGTAATGTAACAAATATCCCTTTTCTAACTTGTTGGAAGATCAAGTTATATTAATCTTCCTGAGTTCTTCTTGCAGACAACCTCTTCTGTTGAGCGCAAATTACTGTTGGCAGGGTTTTTGGATGTACAGGTTGTTCTAATGACACAAGTTGTACCATCAGAAGTTGTCCAGTCTTTTGGGGTTAGTATCTGTTCATTTTTAGTTGCCAACACTACCCTTTCCTTATCCCTCCCCCCCCCCCCCCCCCCCCCGCTCCCCTCTCCTCCCCCCATTTCTTCTCTTTATGGTAGAGAGAGTAATGATCCCTAGTGGGTGAATGTTAGGATGAGTGAGAACCATGATCGAGAGATATTCACTTCTACCAGATATGCTTTGTATGATTGTTGGATTGGGTAAAGTGAGGAAAGTTTAAAGTAAATTATTTTCTTACAAATGGTCTCTAATGTACTTCTAGAACTAACTTTTTTCTTGCAGTGTAAAGGACTTCGGTTTATGGAATGCATTGAACACAAGTCTTAATATTTGATTTTTTCCCCCCAAAAGTGGAAATAGTAGGGATTTTAAAACCATGGCTTTATATCACTGTGATAATCTCCCTTTGTTTTGATGGATTGGTTGATGTGTATCCGTCTATTTCACCGACTTAATTTGATTTTTTTCCTAAACAGATTACGGCAAAGAAGCCTTCTTGGAAAATTGGTTCATCCTTTATTATCAAGAAAGCCTCGACAAATTTACCTAAGGTCCATATTGATGATGACGTGGATCTGATAGATGAAGATAGCTGTTGGGATTTAACTCGATTTAAATCCACTAACAAACACACACAATCGAAGAACAAATCAAGAATATAAAGCAATAAGAAACAAGAAAGAACAAGACACAGATTTTACGTGGTTCGACAATTTGCCTACGTCCACGAAGCTGCAGGGATTTCACTATTGAGAGAGTTGAATTACAGAGAGTGGCTGTACAATCCACAACAAACCCTAATCACCAAAACAACAGGGTTTATATGTCCTATGCACTGGGCTGGGCCTAAAAAAATTTTCTTCGGGGGCGTTGCCCCCGAACCCCCACGAGGCTTGTCCATGAGCGCTACGACTTGGGCCTATCGGCCCAAGCCTTCTCTCCATGTACTAAGCCTCAGAAAATTTTCCATTAAAAATCACACAACATTATTTCGGGTCATCATCCGGATCACATATACAAACTAGACTCCATAAAAAAAAACTAACAATAGCCTCTTAACTGAAGAGGATTTAAAGAAGATTGAGTACAACTGCATCTACTCTTATTGAGTGTAACATTGTTCGGATTTTTTGGCTCATGGAAAAACTAGATTAAGTTTCACTGCTTCTACTCTTATTGTGTGTAACATTATTGGGAGTTTTTGGCACGTGCTGAATGAATACACACTTGCAGTTGGTGCTTGTGAGGTTGGAAGCACAAGGAAAGCCTGCAAAAATTGCACCTGTGGACGGGCTGAGGAAGAAAAGAAAGTGGAGAAGCTAGGACTGACAATGGACCAGCTGGACAATCCTCAATCGGCTTGTGGCAGTGTATATTCTTTGCTGACATCATCTAGTCCCTCCAAACTATTCCGTCTTTTGATATCATACAAACTGCAATGTTGTTTTGCGGTAGCATTAGTATCCAAATGACACCTAAGTTGAGCACCTCATCAAAAAGTGATAATAAATGGAACTATGGGTGCTTGCTTAAGTGGTGCCCTATGCAAAAGAAGTCCACCCAATCATCGAGATGTTATGAGGTCTTGGTAGCTGTTATAATGTGGATTGAATACAGTCGTTCTTGACAAACAAGGGACATCCTCCGGCCAAGTTGGGCTTTTCTTCGTTGTTTTTCTGTTGCCTAGTTGATCTATGGATAACAGGGAAATTTCAAGAACTTCCATTCTTTAGCATTTGTAGTCACCGAAGCATTTTCCTTCTTTACTTATGCCTCTAGTTTGAATATAGAGTTTCTTTCTTTTGCCTTCCTTTCATCTCTGAGATTTCATGTACACATGCAGTGTGGACTGGGTGATGCTTTCCGGTGCAGTACACATCCACACAAGGGTCTTCCTCCATTTAAACTGGGTGAGAAGGTATGTACTGAGATAAGGCTCTCTCTCTCTCTCTCTCTCTCTCTCTCTCTCTCTCTAGGGTAATTGCCTAGTATAGTGGTAAAAATTAGCAACAAAATTGAGGATTTCTAAGTGTAGTCCCTTTGCACGAATATTGCCAAAGGTCGGTCCTACCAAAAAATCGAAGATGTTCCTTTAAATGGAGAAAGTGGGTTGTACACCCATGCTTATCCTTCTGACTTTGATCTGTAGTATCTGAGGGTTATACTCAAATGATAATGGCAATTGGAAGTAAATTTACTTATTTATTGTATGTTATTTTTTTTGCAGGTTACTTTACCTGGGAATTTTTGGGCAGCTGATGTCTAAAATACCAACAATCAAGCTGGATGTAATGTCATTATTTTTGATGTTTTGGATACCACGGGATTAGTAGGTTCGTCAACTGTAAGTCTTTGTTTCAAGATTTTGGGTGTAGTTTTGTCTCTGCCTACATGACGAGTTGTCCAATGTATGCTCATTGCGTCTGGCGAGAGGAAAATTTTTGATTGTGTTTTTACTGAACATTTCAAGTAGCAGAAAGCATTTATAGAGAAGAAATGATTTGGTGGCAGAGCAATATTGTTAGTGGCTAGATAGGTATGATGCATGACTTTTTTCCAGGTTGGTATACGGGTCCATTATTTTCACACCCAGTTAAACCATGCAGGCTGGCATACTGCCTTTAAAAAAGTTCCAGAAAGTAACACCTAAGCTATGACACGAACATAATATTTGATTAGCTAGAATAAGCTAGAATTTAGACAGATATTATGGTAAGAAGTAGTGCTCTTAGAAGATCAGATGATGTTGTAGAAAAATGCAATATAAATAGGGCAGAAGTTGCATGCCACAATTTTGTAGCATAATAATGTTCTCACCATAAATCCTTGTACTTTGGGGCTGTAATATACTTTAATTTCTGATATGAAACCGTTGTGGATTTTGTTGGTGAATGGAAAAATTGGCAGAGGTTACTGTTTGTAAGTGCACCCTAATGCCGAATGAGTGGCCTAGTCTTGTTTCTCATCGACACCATACCAACGCTCCATCAACCACCATTTGAAGCCATGTAAGTAGGGACGGAGCATAGTTTTTGCCTAAGGATGCCATGACTTACCCGGGGGTTCTAAAAAGCCTTGCTTTGCTCTTTCCTTGCTCATAATCATAGCCACCACAGTCTGAACATAATTCACCACCCAACATCTTTTAAAAACCTGAAATCACCACCAAAAACACATCACCATTTATCATCTCCGTCGCTGTCCACCATCTAGGTCCACCCCACAAACAACCCACCACCAACTGACGTACACTTTTTTCTGATTAGGGTTTGTTGGTTTGGCTAGTATTGTGGATATTTGGCCAAGAAAAAGTTTATGATACCAACTTCTGGATGATTTGTGGCTTTTTCAGTTTGCACATTTAGAAGTACTGTTAGTCTTAATTATGCAGGATTTGCCTTTAAATCAGTAATATAGCTAAACGCATACAACAACAATCAAATAAACTGGCAAATAAGGCAGGTAAATAAACATATGCTTGAACGAATGATTGAACGGTGTAACAAGCAAACCTTAAATATTGTGAAAGAGGACAACAATTACAAACTTCAGCTATTAGAATATCTTTTCCCTTTTTCCGGTAGTTTAGAAGATAGTTAAATAAGCATAGCCTAAAAGTTCTCTAGCTTTACAACAGTTACAGGAAGAACCAGGCCCCTAGCAACCAGATTTAATCCATTCTATTTTTTTTTTTTTTACCTACAATGCTTTACAATAGCAAGGAGTACTAAGATTCCTAGCGAAAGCTACACTAATACAATTTACAACAATACTATACTTATCACCTTTCTGTAACATCTCAATGTGAACCATTAGATTAATGGATCCCATTAACTTCATTGAATTTTCAATGGCTAGGATCATCCCACATTAGGTGGTGCACAACGATGGTGTTCATATCATTATTGTACAATTTAACTCAAATAACTAAAATAAAAATCATTGTCTCCAGTTTTCAGAGTAATCCATGTCACTTAATGATGGGCCCTTCCTACAATTAACAACACATAAATGTTGTATCGATTTTTTTTAAAACAAAATCGATATAATGTCTTGTTGGAGAGGTTGAGATTCGATGGCTGCTTGAAGAGGATAGAATCCATAAATGGTTGAACGAAGAAAAAATAAAACAAGCGTTGTTGACATTTTTGAAACCGTAATCGATACAGTGTCTACTTGGAGAGGATGAGTTTCGGTGTCTGTTTGAAGAAAATAGAATCCGTAAATAGGTCAATGGAGAAAAAACCAAACTTTGACGGACAAGATTATTAATGGAATCGTTTCAAAATTCAAACAGTTAATTATCCATTAATTTAAGAAACCATTTATATAATAAAATATAATAAAAAACCAGTTTTATTGTTGTTACTATTTTCTTTTTGTGTTGTTGCCTTTGTAATTACAAAGAGTAACATCAGAAAAAACACAATCCAAAAAAAAGTAAGACCAAAAAGTGACATCAAAGAGAGACATCATAGCTTTGTAGTGACCAAGCTATGCAATTAGTTTATCACGTCATAGTGTCTCTCTATGAACACAATCCAATTTTTGTTATAGTTTGTACTGGCCAAGGAATGAAATCAATTTTGTTACTCTGTGGTGTCTCTTTATGAACACAATTCAATGTCTATTATAAGTTGTACTGGTCAAGCAATGAAATCAATTTGTTACTCTATGGTGTCTCTCTATGAACAAAATCCAATGTTTGTTGTAGTCTGTATAAGTCAAACCATAAAATTAAGTTGTCACTCTATGAACATAATACCATTGTTTGTGTTGCATGTAGTGGACAAGTACTGAAATTAAATTGTCATTAAGTTGTCACTCTACGAACATAATACCATTGTTTGTGTTGCATGTAGTGGACAAGTACTGAAATCAAATTGTCATTAAGTTGTCACTCTATAAAGTCACAACTGTAATTTTATTTTATTTTATTTCATTAAATCTCGTTATAGCGAGGCACATTTTATTAATAAAACAAAAATAACATGAAACTAGGGGTACAAAGAACCTTACCACTTTATGCAATCTAATACAATTAATAGTTGATCAATGAAAAAATACTTAAAGATTGCATTAAAAAAAAAAATAAAGAAGACCCGAAAGAGTAATCGAAACCTCCAAAATCTTCCTCCAACGAAATTTCCCCATTTGATTGAAAATTCCTTGATAATCCCGCAAAGATGTAACCCACCGTCTACGGTAAAATCCTTCCAACTAAGATAAATCCTTGGTTGTTGGTCAAGAATCCCTTTGTTTGCCTACAAATCTATTGTTGCATTAGCGTCCTTAAAAGCATGGGTTATTTGAAAATTCAAACTGATTAGGATATGAGAAATCCAAATTTCAAGCTCAAGTATATCATATAACCCCAAAAATTCAGCCTCCATATTAATAGACTCTTCATAATAATTAGAACCTGCAATAATTAATATTGATTCAAAATTCCCAAGCAAAAATCCACAACCAAATTCAACACAAATTTAGTTGCCTTTTTTTTCGAGAAGAGTTGCTTCTTTTCTGATTGGTTTCTCTTTAGTTTAAGAGTATGATAGTAATTCAAACTCGAAATAGACTTTTACACAAAATGTTTTTTCAAATGGACTTCCACCCCCAATAAGTTATGTATACCGGCACCCAAATTTCCCTTTATTTTTTACTTTACTGTGAAGTCAGTCAAATCTGAGTACATCTTTGTGATCAGCTCAGTGTAATAAGGATTTAGATCCACTCCATTATCCCTTCCCTTCAATTTCCCTTAATATAGTGCTTGAAAGTGGTTACTAGCAAGGTATTCACCAAAAATAGGAAAAGGAACAACATTGGCTTTCGGAGTATGGCCTCTACAGACACTGTTTATAAAGCAGGCATTTTGGAGGAGAACTCTTTCACATCAGACATCACGTGAATATACACTTCAACAACCAGACTATCTAGTACTACGAACCCCTTCGATTCGTCATGCAGATCAGGAAGAGAAATTAGATCAAAACCCCAGCTTTTGCTTAGGTCACAGAACCAGTAACCACCTGTGATAGAATAATTGAGAGGAAAATTTTAGAGGAAGGGAACAAACTAATTTTAAAAGGAAAATAGTGACAAACCAGTTTCAGTCTTTGTAAAAAGAACATATGTGATATGTTAAAGATGGAGGGCAAGTGTTCACCTTTCATTTCGCAGTGGTTGCCATTGACTTGGTCTTTTACCAAGACGCTAAATTCCACATACAATTTTACCTTGGTTGGAAGGGATCCGCAATTATCTAAACATAGAAAGACAGATAAGCTTTTGCCCTTTCCACTGCCATGTCCTTCGGGATAAACAAGTATCTTCCTAGATGAATAAAGAAAGCAGTACATAAGAAACAATTCCATCTGGTTATGGTACATAGAGAATAAGAATTGAGGAACCAAGGGCTCAAACCATTTGTGCTTTCCAATGGTGAAAGGTTCAGAGAACAAACGCTTCTCTTTTCTCTCAGAAATTTTTTTGATCTCCCAAGCGTAACTATTGAAATAAGTTTCCTCCTTCAAAGAAAGACACTCTCCTCTGCCAGTAGATTTAATGACATAAACCTCGGCCCCAAACACACAGGAGTCATCAATAAGGTATCCGTTAGAAGCATCTTTGAAAGTGTCAAGGGAAAGTAATTTGGCAAAACCGAACTCCGTCTTAAACCTGTGGAAATGTCTTAGTCTCCCATCAGCATCTACATACATGACAGACACCGGTTACGCAAAGAAAAAATTTAAGTTATACTCTTTCTGACCGCTTAAACAGACTTATTATTACTACGAGTGCAAGAATGTGCATTTTGAGAAATCTTACTTTGGAGGGTCAAGTACTTGTCTCGGATATGATCATACACAAACAATTTGAATTCGACATTAACCTCCCAACCAAGAGGTAATGTATCTGCCTCTGATATTGCTAAGTAGAGAGAGATATGCCCTTTCCCATTTTCCTTCTCATATCCAGTCGGATATAGACACAATTTCCTGCAAATAAGGCAAAGCACACAATGAGAAAACTTATCTCGGATTTTAAAAAGCAAGACTTCCCAGAAGTGAGAAGAAAGGATTTCTATTTGAACTCACCATTTGTAACCACCTGATTCAAAGTCACTCGAGTCAAATCTTTTCTCTTCTGCCTTGGAAAGCAATGAGAACGATTTGATTTGAAATAGGTAATCACCTGGTGGAACCTCTCTCAGTGTCCTTGAAATTTCTGCACACAAACTCAAAAAGGTTCATACTTTGCTAAATATCACTGTTTTATATAGAAACTTGATTGCAGATAATATATTCTTAAAAAATTCTGAAAAATACAAAGAAAGAGAAAAACAGAAAAAAAAAAAAAAAGTACGAGATGAATTTATAACATAGGTTTCTCCTATGTCTGGATGAATAATAAAAACTATGCCCAGATTTAAAACAAACCATTCAGACCAACGTTACATGGATCGTGGATCGATTTAGTACGTGGTACGATACTTGTTCTAATACACAGTACAGTAAGAGTAGCCTTAGTTGGTTAACTATTTTGAGTCGTGGTTCATTTTGTAACATTTATATAGAATAATATATTGGTATACACATAGTTAATAAATATTTATTTTAAAGAACACCAAAATAAAGAAATAACAAGATAGAGTTATGATGTGGATTACTTATATCATGAATCAATTTACGGTTAGACTTATAATTTGGGGTCAAGACTTTGAGTGATCTGGTTAACGTACCCACCTTATAAAAGAGTCGTGCGAACCTGGTTCGTGGGACGTTAGGGGTATCTACGATCCCAATATCTATGTTTCAGACACCTCTAATACAATGCTCAGACTTCAGCATCTAGATCTTTTGATTCAACCGCATAAAAAACACACAAGTACCCAAAGGGAGACAACATAGTGATTACCAATTGCACCATCATTGTTAGGGAAAGGATGGACAGACGTCTCGCCCATGACTGTCGTCTTATGTTTTTGAAGAACGAGGCCTTCTTCTACTCGATATTTGATGTGAGTGACTGAATTGCCTGCTTGGTACAGTGTTGAGGAATATAGAGATGCCAAATATATATACTAGGTATTGTCTTCTGCAATATGAGATTAAATAGGCAATCTCACACACGAGCAAAGCACCTATAAATTCAGAGGCGAATGAACTGAGAATCAAAGTCCTAGTCACAAAACTCATTTTTCACTCACAAATGAGATTTAATCGCATTTTAAAATGTGAAAGACTAATCTATATATAAAGCCAGTTTCTATGAAAAAATGAGATTGATATGAACCAAACAAAGTAATATAGTTATAAATATACTCTGTCTCACTCAGCATATTAAGGAAACCTGAGATGTCACCTGCAAAATACACATACAAAAATAATTGACAACATGGGAAATATATGTCGATTTTTTTTAAAAAAAAAAAAAAACCAAACAAACAGAGATACAGTGTGCAAAAATAAATATATGCTCATAAATATAGACAAAAAGGACTATAATATGAAAAAATTGTGAAAAAAACAGAAACATTACAGCAGTAAAATATCAACAGTTATCATAAAATAGCCCAAAATAAAGCAAAAAATCATTTAAAAAAAAATTCAACCACGCCCCTTCTAATTTATTATATCTTCAAAATCACTCTCTCTATTATCAAAAACATCCCTGATACCCCCGGGTTAAGGCACCATTTCTAACAAAAACAAATCATCTAAAATACCAAAAAATGTCCCAACATAAACCCCCCACTTTTTTTTACATAAATTTCGATTAAAATCTATTTTTTACATGTAAAAATTCAAGCCGATTAAAATTCATTTTTCTACGCATTAAAATTTAAGTCATTTTTCTACGTATTAAAATTTAAGTCAATTCAAATTTAATTTGAATTGATTAAATTTTATTTTTTTACGTATTAAAATTCAAATCTATTAAAAAAAAAATCTAGATATTACAATTTGAGTCGATTTGAGCTCTACTAGAACTGTTGGGCCGATTAAAATTTTTATTTTTTTTATTTATTAAAATTCAATTCAAGTTGATTAAAATTTATTTATTATGTATTAAAAATTGAATCAATTAAAATTTATATTTTTTTATGTATCAAAATTTAGACCGATTAAAATTCTATGCGTGTTGATTAAAATTTAATTTGAGTCGATTAAAAATTAATTAATTTTTAATCGGCTCAAATTTTAATACATAAAAAATAAATTTTAATTAGCTCGAACTAATACGTAAAAAAAATTTAAAAATAAAAAGGTCTCAATGAAGATATGTCAATTTAGAGGGGGTGCAGATGAAATTTTTTCAAATATATCATGATGGATAATTTAAGAAAAGTACATTCTAATTAACATCTTAAAGGTTGTCCGTGAAGATTTAAAAAATAAAAAGAGTGTTCTTGAAACTAAGATAAACTAGAAAAAGTTACTGAAATTTCCCTTAAAAAAAAAAAAAAAGACGCACCATGACATACTGAAACTAGCTTATCTCTTAACAGTAACGACACAACACTTTATTCTCTCTCTAACCGCACTGTCTCCTCTTCTCTCCTTTTGTATAAGATCGGTAATACATATGAATGTACATATCAGACAGACAGAGAAGTGAGGCGAAAATAAGAAAGCTAATCTCCGACCGAACAGAGAGAACCTGATGGTCTGACACTTTTAGTCCCAAAAATCACGTAGGTTCGCCTGAGAAATAAGTTCTTAGGTAAACTCACCGGAAATTGGATATCACGCGCGTCGCCGGAGCATGCAGACAGAGAGAGATGGGGAAAAAGTGAAGAGAGGAGTGAGAACATGCGTAAGTGAGAAGCCAAAATTGTACCTCAGCCACTTTTGTAGTGGGTCAGTGATAAAAGGGGGCTCCGGATTCCAAATGTTTATTCACTGCAGTGAATTTTGAAAAAAAAAACAAGGATTAAAAAAACGGAGAATTATATTCGGCCTCCTAACGTTGTCACTTAATCATTTAAATTATAATATTTAAAATATTACACATAAATGCCTAAAATTTATATGTACGTACACTTAAATCTCTGTCATCAATATTAGTTAATAAATTATACTCAAACCCTATCTTCAATGTCAAAATAAAAATCTAAATTTTTTTAAAAAAAATTATAATTAGTATATAATTATATTATCTATTAAAATAAAATTAAAAAATAAAAAAGTGACTAAACTATAATAGACACAATATCTTCTATATTTAATTGGGTTAGTTTTGTTGTTTAATAGATATATTTAGATCATTTACGTTTAAAATATTATATTTAGATAAAAAATATTCTAATCAAAGATAGAATATATTAAATATTTTAAATTTTACAATCAATATTTATATTATATTATGTCATTTATTGATATATAATTAAAAATAAAAATACAATTTTTTGTTAAAAAATCATAATTAGTATATAACATGAATTTTGGTTAATTTTTTGTCATTAATTTTATATCATAATTAAAAATTAAAATTAATGTTATATTATGTCATTTATTGATATGATTTTTTAATTTAATTTTAAAAAATAACATAATAGAACATGAATTTTGGTTATAAAAATTTAAAATATTTGATATTTTATCTTTTATTTGATTTTTTTTATCTGAGTATAATATTTTAAATTTGAGAAATCTAAATATTACGCACATATAAACTTTTGCGGGTTT